GCCAGGGCAGGTTTAGGCTAGACATTAGGAAAAACTTCTTCACCAAAAGGGTTGTCGGGGTCTGGAATGGGCTGCCCAGGGAGGGGGTAGAGTCCTCCTCCCTGGAGGTATTTAAAAGAAGGATAGATGAGGTGCTTAGGGACATGGTTTAGTGGTGGGGTGTCAGGGTTAGGTTAAAGGTTGGACTCTATGATCTCAAAGGTCTTTTCCAACCAAAGTGATTCTATGATTAATAATAAAGAATTTCTTTTTTATAATGAGAAAACAGTTGTTCTCAAAAGGGCTCAGTCTGCAGGTATAGTTTGTATGTGGGAATTGATTAAAGTTTCCTGCATTCACCAATTTAATCCAATAAATTTCACATAGTAAAAGAAAAACTAACTTGATTTCTCCTGAGATGCTTCTGTTATGAGACAGTGCAAAAAAAGCATGGAGGCAGAATTTCACATCCAAAAGAAAAGAAGCTAACTGTTGTCCAGACCTGCATAAATAAGTGAAAGTACTTTAGATATTAATTTATATTTTAGTCATTCAAACACTGAGCTTAAATACAGACTGAAGCATTAGCAAGAATTACATTGCTTTTAACATAAACCAGAACACAGACTTTAATAAAAAGGGAGGTTCCAAGCTCTTGCTCCATCTAACAACTGTGAAATTATGCATGTGGGGGGGTTCACAGTTACAAGACTGAAATCCAGCCAGTTATTATAAGGTTTACCTCATAGGTGTCAACGTAGGAAAAAGGCTTGCAAATTAACTAACAAAAGTTGCTGGTTCTTACAGTTACTACTGTGATAGAATAAAGATTAGAAAACATTCTTGCCAGACAATAGAAGCCCCAAGGAAGCAACCATAAGGACATTTTCAATACTTCAATATAATTGCTAAATGTTTAATTATGGAAATAACTCAAAGGAGTAGGTTTCTGCGTTTCTTGATGCCTCGATGACCAGCATAAATCAATTATAAGCTGTTAGCTCAAATTCAGAGCTTAAAGTGAAGGCATAGACTTGTAATAAATAAAGTGGAATTAAGGACAAGAAGAGACAATTAAGTTGTAAAGATCCTTGTTAACAGGGGTTGAATCAACATGACACTAGAGGTATCTGAAATTGAGTTTTACCTATAAAGTAAACCATGCTTGATTTTATAGAGATTTATATAGGATGAACCAAACCCTAGAGAATCTGAAAATTATGTCCTAGTAATAAACTCTATAAAAAAATTATATTTTGCTAATTTGTAGAACACTCACCTAAAACTTAATCTCATCAAAATTGTAGCTAAGACTCTGCATAAAATAATATTTTCTGTAACTACATTGGAAAATGAAAGAATATTTCCATGTTTTAAAATAAGAAGGGTAGAATAAAACCAGGTATAAACTTTCTAAAACAAACCCCAACAGAGACCTTTTAATGCCATTCACTCAAAAAAAAAAATAAAAAAAAAGTTCAGGACTGCAAAGAAATTAAGCCTCTTGAGATCTCATGTAATCTACTGGGTAGCTGGTGATTATTGGTCAATTAATTTTTTCCATTTCCTGGTTAAACTACAGGTGTCTTTAGGACTTAAAACTTCATTTCTAAATATAAACTAAATGCTTAATATCCAACATATAAAAGATTAGACACTGATTTATTCTAACCAGAAACTGTTCACTCTCCTCTGAATTTGTGCATGAAAAGTTGAGTCTGTATATAGGATAACCATCAAGACTAGACATAACTTAGTCTAGAACATAAAACAGAAGTACTAATGGTAAGAAAAAGCCATCACTGAAACAGACTGTGCAAGGAATTTCTTTAAGGCATTAATCAGACTTAAACCTGATTAAGTGTCTAATTGGCTTGACAACTGATGTCAAGAATACATGGGCTATACACCTGTTCGTGGTAAAAGAGTTAGAGAGGCTCCAGGAGAGCTGGATGAGCAAGATGTTTAAAAAATTAAAAGCAGTCTTTTCTAGAGCAAAATTATCACCTGAGGAAATAGATTGCAAGAATGAAGGTGTCCCTCCACCATCCAAGGCATCTACAGGCCAGGTATAGTTTTTATTGTTTAGTATAGACTCAGTAGTATTACCTTTTCTTTAGAAAGCATTTATGTAAGTAAATGCCAAAGGTTAGATTTTCAAAAATACTTACTGTGCACGGTATCTTTATTTAGCAAAATTAAATAAATGCTTTTATTCCCCTCCTTTTCTTTATGAAAAAAATACACATTTTCTCCTTTTGCAAGTTGCTTTCCAAATAGAGCTAACCTGAAATAGTGCAAGCTTATGAGAGGTCTTGATCAACATTGTAAGCAGGGAATTAGAAATACTGGTATGACTGCTTTTGATGTGCTGATGTATTCCTCTTCATCTTGTTCCCTGCTGGCAGAAAATGTCAGTATATCCTTTCTGAATATTGGAATGGTATACAGGTATATATCAGCCTGATTCCTGATAACAGCTGGAAAGGCAAAGCAATTTTTTAAGAAGTATTTTATTTGGCTTGGTTTTACTAATATAACTCCTGTTTGAAAAATACAGTAAGTCATTTTAGTATACAGTCTATAATTTTTTTTAGTAGTTCTCTACTATAAAAGTTAACTCATTCTTTTAATTTTAATTAATGGAATATTTTAAAAAGAGACAGAATGATAGATACTCCTTCACCTCTTACCTTTGAATTTTTATCTTTTCCCAACAATGTCCTAGAGAGTTTTAGTTTTTTCTAGCTTGACATAATAAACACTTCACAAGGCAAAATGGAAAAAAAAATAAGGTTTTATCTAATAATTAGGAAAATAAAATTAGTTCTTTAGTATAAGCCTGAGCTATTAACCTGAATTCATGCATAATGAAACAATTTAAACTCCACCATTATAAAGTTAATTTTAACTAAACAGTGTCTTTTAACACGTACGCAACAGTTGACATATACAAAGACTCCGATTTAACTTCTATGAGCCTTGAATTACATGTACAAGAGTTCTATAAATTTTCCAGTTTTAAGTAAAACTGATAGAAACAAATGCTCATAAGACTGAATAATTTCCTAGAACTGAATAATTTCCTGAAGTTCATAGGTTTGTACAACTTCAGGAAGAGGTATGTCTTAATCCAACCCAACTACAACTCAAATTTGATTTGTCATTATTATAAAAGTGCAAACCAATTGTTTGATGAACAGGCATATCCTTACTGCCATCCACACAAAATGACAAAAATGTCTACATTCAACAAACTTCATGTACTGCAGATCTGTGGGCAAAGTGTTATTCATGCTTCCTTTAAAGTCCTGCACATCAGTTTTCTCAGGTCAATAAAACATTGTCTTGAAAGAAGAAAAATCCTGAATCTCAACAGATGACTTCTGTGCAGCCTGATTCCTCACTTGGCAAACAGCTCTAGGAAGAAATATATATTTAGATTTCCCTGGAGACATGGATTACTCTTTTCACCAGAATAATTCTATACATCAGCGCAACACTCAGATCATATCACCATCAGCCTCCACTATTATCGATAGCGTTAAGATGGAGGGAGATGAATGGGTCAAGGATTAAGACATTTTCTGCCTACAAGGAGATACCATCTAAAGAGAAAAAAAGAAACATATGTAGTATCTGATAACTGTAAAGCACTATGTTCTTATGCTATTAGGAGGAAGCCTGAAATAAGGAAAACAACCTTTGCAACAAAACATCATGCAAGTACCTCCAGTATGCACAGAGATTGATAAGGCTTTTAATTTTCATTTATATATGTAAAATATAATTTAATTATTTTTATACATATATGTATATTAGAACTTCAGTGCCAGATTCTCTGAATAAAAGCAGACAGGAAAAGCAAATATTTTTATAGAAAAAGACAAACTCCAATTTAATCTCAGAAACGCAAATAAAGAGAAGGTCATTTAGTTTGGAGAGAGAGGGGGGAAAAAACATGCATGAAGACCTGAAATCTCCTAAAGTCAAATAATTTTCCATATGCTTATACTACCTAATATCTTCCTCTATTAATCAGCATGATAAACACCAGGCAAATTCTTTCTATCTGGGATAATAAATGCTCATGGGCTTGATTAGCAGCACACTGTGACATAGTACCAGGAACACTAAGACTCCCCATGCACTTCTCACTCCCTCCTCCACTCTGTCAAAGCCAAGACAAACCAAGGTACAGGTACATAAGGACTCAGTTCATGGATCTAAGACAGTAAGAGTAGGAGGAAGTTAATTTTTTGCAGTGAAAGCTGAAACTGTCTCTGTATTTTGTAAAAAGATCTGTCATTGTGGTAAGGTAGCTCAAACCATATCAGGTCTATTAAACCAGTAGAAGGTTTAGACAGAAGAATGACTAATTGAGAGATGCAGACTGGCTTGGGAGTGGCAGCACTGAACAAGCCAGCCTTGACAACATGAAGGAGGGCCTGGGAACATGCAGCATCAGAACTCCAGTCTAAGTAACTGGGTTTGCACAGCAAGTGTGAAGACATCAGTTTTTTGATTTCAGCATCCAAGTCCTTTGGTGAACCTATCTGGAAAGTCTTGTACAAGAACACACACAGAACACCCAGGAGCAAAGCTCAGAGTGTGTCAACTCGGTTAACCACATTCCTAGGAGAATGTTGCAGATATCAAACCATCTTTATCATTCTGAACAATGAGCATCTGCGGTTTCTAATCCTGTTTATTTTTTTAAGGGTGAAACTGAAAAAACAGATGAACTACAGAAAGCAGAGGCCAATAAGAAAGCAGAACCCATACCAAAGCAACAAGGTCAGTAGTAAGCTATTTATGAGTATTCAGAGATTATCTGGACAAAATGTATATACTATATAGGGCTGTAAATAAAATTGGTCTTCCAAGTGCTCTGCCAGCTGCAGACCTTGTTTTTTATTTGTGGAAGAAAGGAGGAACTCTGAATTCCCATTGACCCCAAGCCAATGATTTGTTGCAGAAGTACAAGCACTACCCAACGATAATAAAAGGCAACAAGCTTCCAAGCACACTTTAATCAGCTAGTCTAGCAAAATCTTTTTTGTCTTACTGTAAGCTGACTTCTTAGAAACCTTACTTCAAAATAAAGGTATTTAGTACCTTAAGAAAGAAAACTGTGTGTTTTTAATGAATCTTTTGGGTATAATTCTTATATATATAAAACAACTACAAAGACAAGACGGACTTTAAACAATCTGACATTCAACTCTTTCAGTGAAGCGCCATTCATACAAATTTCAAAAAAAAGGAAGCAAACAAATAATAAAAAAAAAAATACAAATACAAAATACAAAGTAATTACTTGCCTAAGCAGCTGGTTGCTGAAAAAAGTGGCAGCTGGCCATGGCTATTCTGCCCCCCTCTTCCCCCACCTCCCAACAGCCAAGCCTATTTTGCTTATACCAGAGCCAGAATTGCTGCAGCAGCTACCAAGGTAAGGGCTCAGGATGGGTGCCACAACACCTATAGCTGGGCCATGTCCCCTCTTCCTTCTTTCACAGCATCAGTGGTGCAGCCATTTCCTTTTCCATCCTCCAGTACTGGAGAAAAACACCAAGTCCAGTTTTCCTGTTACCTCATGCTTTTCCTTTGGGACAACAATTCAGGTTTATTTCACTTGAGCAGTAAAGCAAAGGCTGAGGAACCTCCATTTTTCTGAGCCAAAGATGATTTAAAGAGAGAGGAGCAAGGCTACAAGGAAATTTGCATAATCCTTACTTGTGCTTTGTGTAATCATAACAAGTATCACAATTCCTTTCCTCATATAATGAAACTTTAAACAAAGTCTACTTAATGCAATTATCTTGTTATATAATGGCTGTAGCACTAAATCAAGGGAAAACAAAATCTGACATGAATTAACTGTGGCAATAAGCCAACAATGGAAAAAATCAAATCTGAAGTTTTGTGCCTTTTTAGCAACATTAAATCACAGATGCTATCCAACAACAAAATGAAGTATTATAGAATTTTTTTTGTTTCCATCCAAAATCTGATCTAATTTTACAGATTAATGTAATTCATTAATCTATACTAGTGAAGGGAGATCAATTAAATGAAGAAGTTAAAACTAGTTAGAGAAAAGCCCTTTAGAGATCTCTCATTAGTTTCTCTGGTATAAGCAGAATAAAATAGACCAGTAAAGCCTCTAATCATAGTGTCATTTTGCAGCTCCATAGTCCTGAAACACAAACCAACTGACTGAGTAGAGCTTATCTTCACCCCCTTCTTCTCTCACATGGCCAAAACCATCCATCACCTTCTCCCTTTCTCCCAGCGCTTCACAAGGCAGCATGATGTTCCTAGCACAGATGAGAACTCAGCAGAAGGCATAATTGGAGCCCGTTTGGTTAAAACTTGGCCACTTACATCACCCAGCAACACCTGGTACTTTTGGCTGCTTTATTGGCTACTCATTGCCTCATCTCCACCTCTTCAGTTGCCCTCTCTCTCAGTAGCTTGCTTTGTGATTAATCCTCTGCGTAATTAGTTCTCTCTGTAATTAATTCTCTGTGCTTAAGTCAGTTTGTTCTATAATGGATTAATTTTTTAATTTATTCCTTGCATTTCTTTATGTACTTAACAAGGTGTGATTCATCTAATTACAGGTTCTATGTGATATTGAATCCAATTGCTGTAGTTTCTTTGGATATTTGCCACCTCCCATAACTGACTGGCTGTACAAATGCTTCACTTGTTTTACACTCTGTTGTTCAATATCTCTGGTGGTGGTTATGCTACCTAGAAGGCTACATCCAGCCTCCACCTGCTAGCTGGTGTCTACATTATCATTCTCTGTATCACAATTTCTTTTGTCATCCTAGCAGATCCTTCCAGTATGCCTCTTTCCAACTCACCCCTTTTCTTTCCCTTTCTCTAAACACTCTCATCACCACATTTAAGCACTGTTCTTCTGAAGTCTGTCCTCATTGCCTTCTCACTTTTCACTCACTAGAAACTGGCCTGTTTCAATATTCTGTTTTTTGGTGTTCCTACTTCTACTAAATCAAGAAGTGTCTCAAAGATTTTGTCCAGACTCACAAACATATTTATGTAGCATTTACTAAAGCCCATACTGACATCTCTTTGTTCTTGGTAGGACCTGAGTGAGAAAGCTAGACTAAAACTATCATGGGTATTTCTTATACATGCTACAATTCCATCTCTGGTTCATAAAGTAGACAGAACCTCCCATCTGGGGGATTGCCATGTTAATTTTCAGTGATATTTAGTATCTTCAGAGCCTAGATGCTTTGGAAAGTACCCAGAGGATATGTAGAAGGTTATATACCTGTGCACAAATTAAATGCAAGTGCCATTCTATAGTGCATCAGATTTTCGTGGTTTTGACACAGTCACAAAATCTATATCCTGAGTGAGAAGCCCAGATGGGGCGGGGGGTGGGGGGGGAGGGAAGCAACTAACCAAGAATTTTAATCAGCATCCTGAAGGCATAGAACCTCAAAGGAAGGGCTGCTCAAAAGGAACTTCAGTCCACTCCAGACTCTCTCCCAATGAGTACACTTCTGTTTAGGTACTCAAGGAACATTCACTTTTCCACTTAAATTTTTGAATTAAAAAAAAAAAAAAGCAGAAGCCGCTGACAGCTGCCACCTTTCATATATTAGCCTAGCTGTTTTACCTCCACTCTTTCATAATAAGGGAGTTTAAACCCAGACCCCTCACATTCCAGTAGAGTTCCCTAACCACCCATGTAAAGTCTAGACTAGAGAGATGTGGGAGGAAATTCTGTGGCCTTCCTAATTGCTGTGCCATCATGCAGAAAAGAACCTGTGAAGTCTGAGAAGACAGAGTATAATACAGAGCCCAGAACTAACCTGGAAGTTAATTGAAACACTAACCATGGAGGAGGAATGAAGAACTTTGATTTCAGTATGTATTAATATTACAACATTGTTGAGTCTTTAAAAAAAAGGAAAATATCATTCCCACAATGGGTATTTTTACCATATCACAAATAAACAAGGCCAAGAGCCAAGTTTTCCTCTTCACAGAGGAAAGCTTTGATCGTTAGCTGCTATACAAAAGATGGTCACTCCCTCTAGGTAGAAATAAATCAGATATATTTATTGAGGGTACCAAAATCCTGTTGCTGTGAAAACCCAGCTAATTTCTGCTAAATAGGCACCAACTAAATCTACATGAACTATAACCAAGTTATAGGCCTCTCAAAGGGAGCTTTGAATTAAATATGAAATTTCACAGCTAGAACCTGCCTTTGGCCTGTTATGATTCTGACTCTTAAGCTGCTTTACAAAACCTGTTTCCTAGCACCTCAAAATCCAGGGTTAAATAAGTGGTTTCTATTTCAAAAAATACAAATTACGTACAGCATTTTGCTGTAATATGCTGCAGCTCAATGAACTAAACCTGTCAATGCAAAGAGATTTTTAAATAATAATCTTATTCCTTGTCTTCTCATCCTTTATACTCTTCACTGGCACTCAGTGAACAGGCAGCTATTATTCCCATAAAATATATTTTTTAAAGATTACCAAGAACTTGAATATGTTTAATCAGCTTCCTTCTACTCCTGCTGATATGAAGTTTAATTCCTTTCAGATCTCCATTTTTCACATGAGTGACAGGGCTAAATGCTAGGAAAATAAACCCAGCTTCTTCATACAATCTATCTCTCTTTACATGGAAAATAAACTTTTATAATACTTTTGTTAGCCACTGAAGTTGAGGGTTGAGTTATGATGGACCTACTTATTGTTTTACTTCAACCCCACTGATTCAGAAATTCAGACATTCAGAAACTGTTTTCCCCTGCACAGTGCACTTGTTCAAAAATTTTTGCTAGGAAAGTCACAAAGGTGTGTATTTTGTAATGTCAGAGCTGAAGCCTATTCTCTCCTTTGCCCATATGTTTCCTGTGTGTTAATTTTTCTTCACATCTTCATGACCCTATAGCCATCTTTCAAATATTTATGGCCATAGCTCAAGAACACCTCTGGGAGGCAAGGAAAATCATCAGGCCAATGATTTTCTGTGTCAGAAGTATCCTGGGAAATTTATGGTAGACCAGTTCTCTCATTCCCATTCTACTGCTTCAAATGCAAAGTCAGTCTTTACTCCTGCTATTTAAGAGAACCTGCTCTCTAAGTTATTTGTCAGGCAATAATACTTAAGAGCCTATTTGAGACTTCTAACCTATTTCGAAACTTCTAATCATTTTCAAAAAGAGGAAATGACAAAAAATCACTGATTTTAAGTGATTAAAATTATGTTTCTAAGGTACATATGTCACTGAGATAGCTAAAAAACCAGATTACTCAAGCCTTAGCACTCTGCCTCCTACTAGCAGGCTCTACCCATGTCTTCATGCAGTGCTTCCCATTTCAAACAATGCTGTCTAACCTCAAGTATTTCCATGCGCCATTAAAATTACCAACATTGGGGTTTGTACATTAACTAAAATAGCTTTATCATATGAGCACAAACACCAAGCTACACAAGGTTTTCAGGCAACCATTAAATATGCATATTCAACAGAATGAAGGCAAAATATTCTTTTATCTTTGGCTTTTTCTCTCCCACAACTAATTCTTTTTCACATTTCCAGTAAGTGTTGAGAAGCTGATCAAGACAGTTCAGGCCAATCATTTTCAGGACCTTGTTTTTTACTGAAAGAATACAAAAGAACAACATTAAATGTTCTTTAAGTAAAGATTGCCTACATTAATCCTGGTAATAAACATCAAAACTAAGTGTTAAGGTTTACAACTGTATTGCATACATAGAAAGGCAATTAT